GCGCCTGGGTTCCAAGACGAACCCAGGCGCTCTCAGAACCCAGGCGCTGGGTTCGTCTCGGAACCCAAGCGCGGGGTTCGCCGCGAACCCAGCTCCTGGGTTCGTCTCCGAACGGAAGATGAGGAGATTTTCGATTTAGGGAGAAAGAAAATGAGGAAGAATACGGTAAGTATTTTCGGTTTGTTTCTTTGATTGGATATTTTTGGTTTGTTTCTCTGATTGGATGAGTATTTTGGATTTGTTTCTCTGATTGTCTGATTGGATGAGGAAGAAGAAATCTGGGCTGGTCGGTGTGAAGTTATAAATTGGTGCTTTATAGAGTAGTTTTTTCGTAAATAAAAGGAAGTGTGAGGATAAAATGGAAAGATTATGTCAATTTCATTAAACATGGGGCGAGAAGCTCCCGCGGAAGTAAGAAATGGGAGCTTCCGGGCTTTGCAAAGGAAAGGTGAGAAGCTGAGCTTCTCAAAAGCTGCAGCCCCTTTAGGAAGCTGACCCGTTTGGTGCAGCTTGTGCTTTTAGAGCCAAAAAGCTCTTCCCACAATCTGCACCAAACAGGCCCTTAAACTATGTCAGTTGAGAATTGTTGCATGTGTAAGGCAACATAGTTTTGGCTATTGGAATATGAGGGTAGATCTTCAGCCACTAATGTTGAACTGAACATGAAGTTTGTTGTAGGACTCTCTTAATATTTTAGAGTGAATTATGCCTTACAGAGAGTCCTTCGCCTGGGTTATTGTTCCTTTATTTGATAATAGCATTGGTGGAGCTTCCGGTGGATCTGCTTCTCCTAGTAGCCGTCTTGCTCCTAGCATGTCTGGGTGTAGTTCCCATGAGGGTGTCCTTGAGTCTGTTGCAAAGATTAAATTAGATGGGAAGATGGGTTATTCAAGCGGAAGCTCTATTGTTGTTGAAATATCTAACTTGCATAAAGTGAAAGAAAGCTATATTGAGGAGTCACTTCAGGTATAATGGACATCTAACTCGCTCCATTTTATTTGACATTCTAGTTGATTTCTGGCTTTTATTTTCTATGTTTTGCAAAGAAAAGTTGAAGGCTAGTTGAAGTCCTTCATTTCTTCCATCCCTATATGCATAATTTTGATTGCTTATAAGGTTTAATGGAGTCATTACATGCCAATATAAACTGGCTGAAGGTATGTTAATGGAGTCATCCTGTGCCAATGCCAATAGGAGAAGATGAGGACGAGGTAGAGGGTAGGGGAGGCTATGGAAAATGGGCTTTTTGTATTTGAAATGTAATTATATGTCAATGAGTTAGCTGAGCTTTAGAAGGTTTCTGTTCATTTAGAGCTTTACATTTTTTGTGAAACAAATAATGATGTAATTCTAACTTGTGAACCAAAATTTGCTTTCAACTGGAGGTTGTACTGATCAACTTATGGAATACTTCATCAAACGATACAATTTTATAACATTTCTTATC